TAGAATAGCGTCAGATCAGACCGTGTGAGTAAAAATAACTCACTGGTTCAGAAAGCAGAACTTACAAGTCTTCTTTTTTTGAAATCACACTTTCACAACTGGGGCAGAATGTTTCCATGATGCAGAATAACAGTACAGTTTGTACCTAAAGACAAGGCTTCAGCGAACTTAGAAATATGCTCTAAAGAAGATTTCTGAAAATATTCTAGCCTATTAAGAAAAGGCGGTAAACTTAATTTATTATGTAGTATGCACTCCATATGGTGCTCGGTTCATTTTGACCAAAAATGGACACTCCACTCTCCAGCTAAGCACCAATGACTGGCCGTTGAAGGAGTTAAGATAGCTCTCTTCAGCGCAGGAATGCAAACTTGTGGTGAGATCTAACCAGGCCAGAGGGACTCATCCAGCCCAGTGTTTCTTTGCGTCAATAAAGCAGCCACTGCAACTCTAACCTTAGACCTGAGTCACCCAGGGGCCGTGTTTCCATGATACATGCACAACACATCAGAGCCGGCATAACCAAATGATGACCTCTGGATTAAGTCATGCTTAACATCCCCTCTCTCAATCCTTCCCCGAGAAACACCACTTCCTCTCTTCCTGTATCAGTTCCCATGGAGAAGTGGGGGGGATTAATGGTCAGTGCTAAGGGAAAATCCTGGCTGATAGATCTGTCACTTTACATGAGGTCACATCCTCCGACGTCTCCATTACTGTGCAATGAACTTCCTGTGAGAGAGCCCAGATTTAGAAAACACCAGTATTTGGGTGGGGTTCTCTTTAAGCTCTTCCTTTTAAAAGCATATTCCTTACATTGAATACATAAACTGGCATTTCTTCTATGTCATACATTTAAATAAAGCCTCTTCAAAGACACTAAATGTGAGACTTAAAACGTTCATGTGTCCCAGAGAGGACTGTCATCACCCAGTATGATGAGGATGACGCGGATGTTGTCCCCCGTGGAGACCCGCAGCTGTCTATCTGGACATATTTCCCACACCCAGCAACCAAGCAAGGACACCCCCACTTTGCATCTGCTCGTCCCAAACGCATCTTTTCTATGTGACACTTTGACATTTTACTCTGGGGGAATGTTCTAACAGGAAACACACAAACTATAAGTCTGAAACTATGTTAGTAGAGCATTATTCTCATTGTAAAGAATCCTAACTCAAATCCCTCCAGGTGACCCCTATTAACGGTTTAAAAGTCTACGCATAAGGAACTAATTTTAGCTGCATAGTCTTACTTTTATAGATTGAAGTATATTTTATTAATACAATTTGTGTTGTTTTAGTGAATGTTTTTTAATAGGGCTGTCTGTTTTACGTGAAAATGAAAGATTGGAACACATGTTTTAAATAGCACCAAAAAAAAGGCAGCGGATCACGAAAGTGGAACAAAAACTATTCGTGTTTGGACTAAATGTCATTGTGATCCCTCCAGCAGTTCTCAAGGCATTACATTACATTACATTTTAAGCCAATCCATCTAATAGTTGTTGAGATATTACAGCCTTGACCAAAGAGGACTGACCAACAATGCCATCCCAAGAGCAATGCTACTAGTGTGGTTACAAATACAATCTTAATAAAATCTACGTAGAGTACAAATGCTCACTATGCTCTAAAACAGAATTTGTTGATTGCAACAGAATCTGTCTGTCTTCATTGAAGAAGCAACATGATTTCACCGACTGAGGAATAGATGAGTGGGGCCAAGCATTTCTTTAATTCCTCTCTTTTGGGAGAGTGCACACATCGCAACAGCAGGCCAGCAGCGGCTGACTGAAAGGGACAGAACTCGGTCTGTCATGGTGTCACATTGCCATTTCCAGAGAGCTCCACATGGAACCACAGCTTGTTCGATTCAGTAAGGGGACAAGGCAATCATTGTGAGTTTCTACTGACCCCTGAGCTTCTACTGACCTCTGTCTCATTGAGAAGTGTATCATCATAAATCAGTCAGCCCAGTAACTGGCTTTAGGTTCAGTAAAGATTCAGTTCAGTATTTATCAGTTGCCCTTCATATTTTATGCAGCGAGTTCAAGTGTCAGCTGCTCTGGTATTATGAAGTAAATTATTTCAAACAGGCACACATAAATACAATGATATGTTTTATATCAGACTGTGGAAATTGTCTGTTACAGAAGAAACGACTCATGGCATAAGCTACTGAGAACAACAGGAAACCAGCAAACCCAGTAGCAGACTTAACATGAAATGAGTCAGAAAGAAGCCCAGAGAGCACAAAACACTCTAAATGTAACAAGTAACTCAAATAAAGGTGCCATACCTGTAGATAGAGAGCTACTGTAGATACAATAGTCCCATTTAGAATATTCTTGACATCCATAACAATCTAATTGTTCAAACCAAACTGGTTGATCAACATTTGGCTCTTGTCTTTTGCAAGCCAGTCGCAGTCTGAACTTTACAGATGAGAGTTAGCCTGACTGCACCAAGCAAGACAGGACAGGAATGTAGAAATATCTTCTTTGGTCTTGTTTAAATCTGCCACTCCCTCGACTATCTGCAGACGTGAAAATGCTGATCATGTAAGGTGTAGAAAAACTGCTGTGATACAGTGACGTCTATGCGGACATTTGTCACTGAAAAACAACATTATTCACTGGTCTTTTAAATGTTTCTTCAAAGTACATTTACTCCATCACTGTAAGTAGATTTTTGAGGGACGTGCACTTCACTTTAATATTTCTATTTGAGGGTACTTAAGCTCCACTATACCTTTCAGAAGGAAATATTCTACCTTTCACTCCACAGCATTTCTCTGACAGCTAGAGTTACTCAGTTACACCTGACATGTAAAACGACTTGATCAGCTACAAAAGTAAAATACTGCTTACATATCGATACACCAATATTAACAATCTAATAATATAGTATGCAATCAATCAGACACAGCGGCCATTTAATGATGTAAGGAGTACTCTTGGTGTATTTTGTTGATAAAACCTCTGTGCTTTAAGTGTGATTTGAAGCAATACTTTTAAAATGAGCAGTATGTCTGTGTTATTGACTGTGTGCTCCTGCATCTCTATGTGCAGCAGGGGGTCCTGGGTAATCTGCCCCTCATACATGTATGATCCTGACCCTCCTGCCTCAGGAGGCTCTTTTGACTGCTTTGATGCTGCTGCCCTGTTATCATCACCATTACAGCAGCAGGGTGGCAGGGCCAAGTGCACCGAGAAGGAGACAATGGTACCGAAACAGAAAGAGTTCCTGCCAATGTTCAGCCATGCGAGTCTGAGAGCCTGCAGATGTTTTTCAGAAAGCTCAGAGGAGGAAATCACCTCTGCCTCCAGGACAGCAGCTGGACTGTGGAGCTCACTGTATCAACTGTCTACAGGAAGTAAGACAGGAAGTTCGAGTCCAGTGGCAGGCCCTGCTGCACAAGCCTTCATTGTGTCACTTTAATGACTGTCAGTATTGCCTCTGAGGCTGATATAAGGCATACAAGCCATTGACAGGGTATACATGTAAAATAGCACCTTGCTTATCATAATAAAATACAAAACGTCACATTGAAAAGCAAGACGGTCGTCAGAGTGGCAGGGGAAACCCCCCCTCAAGTTGGCACCCAGGCATTACAACAAACTTTGCATTTTACTTCTATCCAAAGTTCAGACATGTGTGGGTAATTGGTGATTTAAACTAGTCTACACGTCAAAAACACCATGTAAGGCAACGCTTGAATGCCTGAGCAGCAGACGGACACTTCCTGGCTGAGAGCTGTGCTCAACATGCTCTGCTGATGCAGCCGTGCATGCAACACAGAGTATGCTTTGCTGTGGTTTCAAGAGCCTGTTTCACAAGCTTCATGCTTCTTTCAGATGTGTCACCCTCCATCTACTGCCATATCATCAGACTAGCTTCAGTCTTTTTCAGAAACTTGCAAAAGGGGCATCACCCTGAAACAGACCCAATGGCTCCTCACTCTCACAAATGCTGGTTCTGGTTGGTCAATTGTTTCATTAGAATGAGAGATAAGTGACAAAAAGCAATAGCAAACTGAAAGACATTATTAACCCTCTACTTGTGCATTATGTTTTACAATATAAGACACAAAGAAACGTTCAAAGATGGCAGGCTATGTGACAGTTTTGAGTCAGCAGGATACATTGCCTATTATCAATACTATTATCTACCATGTTGGAACAGAGTTAGAGCTGCGTGATGCAACTGCTGCACCCCACATTGGCAGGATATGACACATTTTGTTATCCTGTACTGTCCTGTATGTACAAGGAAGTCAAATTAACTTCAGGGTTGTTATGTAGCCTACTTCAACCACAACACAGCAACGTCACTTTATCTGCAAGCAAAGGCTCAATTTCAAAATAGAACTCTTACCTTTTTTTCAGGCAAAAACCGAGACGTTTCGGGTAATAACAGGTGACTTGTTTACTGTCCGAAGAGCCTTCTCATCTGAGCGACAGCACACAAATTCCCATTCACCCCAAACAAATACCGACAGTTGATATCGAGGCGAAAAAACAAACCAAAGCCCCGATGAGGAAGTGAAATCTGCCTCAGGTGACACGAAACCTTCAGCAGTCCAAAAGTATCTCGATAAAACCAGCCGAGACTTTAGTTGGTGCGCCTCCTGTCAACATCACCTGAAAAAGCCCCTTTATATGAAGAAAAAACAACTTTGCTACGAACTTCTCACTGCAGTCTCGACGGTGATTTTGTGGGAAAAGTCCAAATGAGTGAGGAGAAAACGCGATAACCCAACTTGTTAAATATTGCAGCCATTAAACGACTGCTTTCTGATTAATTTGAGTGTACTTCAGCCTGTCCCACTCCTTTTCCCCGTCACACACATTCAAGTTTTCTTTGCCCCACCTTGTTTTTGCAGTGCACATGCGCGTTAGTGAGAAACTAGTACGGCTAAAAATGTATCATTAAATTCATTTCAGGCGATTTGGTGAAGGTGTTAGATCATTAATGTGGACACAATGTACTCACATATAAAGCAACGTTGAAAGTTTTTATTGTTTCAATCTGCAGACATGACACAAGAGGACTGCACAGTACTTTTGCACTTGAACCTTGATACTGAACTTCGCACCAAAAATGAAACTGTTGTACTGTCTAGACAAAACCTCCCACTGGCTGTACAAAAACGAATTTTATTCCTGAACTGCAAACTAACCTTGCATGTACTAAACACCCAGCGCAGATGTGAGAATGTGAAACATGTAAACTAATGTAATGCATATCAAGAAGCAGAGCCTGCATTTAAACAAATACACTTTGAAAATGCTTTCCTGCCAAAGCCAGATCACCACATGGTTTCTGACTGTTCACATTTCGTAGAGAAATACCCATATTTTCGGGGGAAAGATATATTAAGCTGCCATTACAAAGGAATAAGGAAGAGACACCAAAAGTGTGGTGTAATGGCCCCCTGGCGGCCAAAGAGGAAACAGCTCTTCACAATCAGTAGCGCTGGCTGATGCTTCCCAGCTAGACTTGTCTCAACAGATGTGACATAACACATCAGGCCGGAGGAATGTTGGAGAAAGGACAAACCCTTTGTGCATGAGAAGTCATTTTCACAGAATCAGTGTATGAACCCTGTGCAGGATAATGTGCACAGAGAAAAAACAAACATATAATGGAAGTATTTTTAATCCTCCTGAGATGTTATTGTGTGGATACAAAACCACTGTAAACCTTTTCCCAGATGACTTCCTTTATCATTTCTTTAACTGCTTTAGTGCAGCTTTGTATAGACTAAACTGACCGCAATGATACACAATTTAGGGACATGTTGTATACAATGTCCATGTCCATTACCTAATACAACAGTCTTTGTCTCTGGACACATTTAAAAAGAATGTGATTTTTTAAAAGAACAAGCTAAGGGTTTGACTTTCATTGTCACATTTTTTGGCAGTAGAAATGCCTACAACCCCCTCTGTCAAGGCCTCGTAAAGCAGCACAAAACAAGCAGCTCTCATGGTAAATACCACTAATGGTGGAGTACACACAACAGCCATACTTCACAATACCAGGAGAGGGAATATAAAAAAGAAACGGTTACATTTCTCATAACAGATGATTCACCTGGAAATGCATTCATATCTGAAATATAAAGAGCCTTTTTACGTTTTAAAACACAACTTGTCAACCGAAAACACCTGTCGACATTCTCACCTGCCTGGAGGTCGAAACTTAAGACCATTTTGTCTACCAGGCATCCATTGGCTTTCATAAAACATGAAAATCTACTTGGACATTCTTGACATTTTAGTCCATAACAGACTATGTCTAGAATGCATGGAGACTTTTTTTTTTTAAATCAACTACATTACGACAAAACAATTTAACTACCACAGACTTTATGATCGCTCTGATGAATTCCCAAAGATCTGTAATCTGTGTTCTGCATTTAAAAAAGATCAGATTACATAAATGATTGGTAGTTAAGGAACTAAAACGTGTAAACACTCTGCTGTGGTCCTTTAACATACAATAGAGAGCCAAAGCGAACTGATAGAAATGAAAACCAAGACACAATGACAAAGGTTCCCAGCTTGTACTTATTTTATGCTAAACAACTAATCCCTGTTCAATGTAAGGTTGATATTTCTCATAACTACTATAGTGGATGACACATTGGCTTGACTGAGAGGAGATTGCACAGAAGCTAGTGGAACATCATGACTTCAGTAACACATTTCTGTAAGCAAATCTTTTTGCCTATAAGAGGTTTTAAATTGCATCTTATCAGAGCCCATATGAAGGCCTTCTTTAGCTTTAACAAACAAAACTGCTGATATCTGGATTCTCTCCATCAGCTGCTCCATTCAACACTGGTTAAGAAAATAGAAAACTACTCGCATAAATGACAATTTTCCACATTTGCTTAAATGGGAAGTAAGAGTAATAAAGTTCTGCAGAGTATGGCAGGCTGTAAGGCCATTAGCAATGGTGACACCAATCTGTTGGTTTTCTGTGGTAATATCATCACATTTAAACAAAATATATGTTTGAATGGTGTTTATTCACCAGATAGGCTCAAGAATGAGTTTAGATTGCAGTGACATCCAGAAATATTTTCTTTTTAAGTCAGAGATTGTCAATCTGAACGTATCATGTAAATACAATAGTATCTACATTATGGCTGAAGCCTCTGATGGTCAACACATTTACTTTTTCAATAAAGCTCTTTCCTATCCCACCCACATGGACTTAGTCCTAATTGACCAAACAGTGGTCCCTTTCTCAAGTCGATGAGTTAGTAATGTAATGGATGAACTCTGGAACATAAGGCGCCAAAACCCCAATGGTCATGGAGGGTGAGGGACTCATGTTGACTATTAGTCCCATTACGCAGAGTGCAAAGGGATGACGAATTTGCAGCCAAAGGGACAAATGTACTTGATTCCCACTTCCTTGAACACCTGTCGAGGAATACCTATGTCACACAGGTAAACTCTGCCGGCCCCCTCGGCAAGGGAGAAGGGGAGACAGAGAGAGAGGGACCACTTGGCCTCCACCGCCTGACCCTGTCCACTACCAGGAGGGTCTAAGCTGAGCACGGGCGCTCGGTTCTGGTTCGCCCAGTCTGCAGCTGCCCGGTACCAAGGCTGGTCCATCAGGAATGTGTTCTCGTGGCAGTCAAGGCAGTTTATGATTAAGTCCACCGGCGTGTCTGGGAGGTCTGAAAAATCAAAGAGCAACATTTGAATATCTGACCACTTAGAATGCAAAATGTAGTCAGAGTGCAGATCTCTACCAAGTTGGTCTCCCTCTCCTTTCCCAAACAATGAGGACTTGTATGTCACTTAATTGTCCCTCCAGGCTTCATACAGTTAACATAAAACAAAATATGCATCTTGACAGCACGAGAAATCGTTAACCATACAGTCGTATAAGAGCACAAATAGACATTATGAATATATTCAATATGCACACAGCCAAAAATCTCCCCAGTTAGGCTGAGATGAAAAAATCTAACCAAAAGTAGAAAAGAATGCATACCTTTGATACTTGACACCTGTTTGCCACTGGTCTTGTTGAAGAGGGTGACCTCGCTGGTGACGCAGTCGAGCATCTTGACAAAATTGGGCAGATACATGACGACCTCCACTTCATGATTGGCCAGGTGACGACCACAGCTGATGCCCTGGGCTCCCTGAACATGAGGGCCACACAGCAGAGCCACTGTGGGACGCTGGTGTAAGTTCTTCGGAGTGAATCTAGAGGAAACAAGGAAAAGAGACTAAGTTGAATTTCCTGAAGTTCGCACTCTCCAAGCACTGCATAGAAGTAAACTTATGTTTGGCGTTACCAATTCATTTCTATGGAACTTGAACACTATACTGGTTTGATATGTTATTCTTGGCAGATTTCTTTTTGCAGGATACTAGCTCAGAAGGCGAAACAAAAATAGTAAGACCTAACTATAATTTTTTACCTCAAGCTGTTCTCATCTGCACTAACAAGCCATCAGTACATGCTCACCTGTTGGGTCCACCCAGCAACGTGAGCGCCATCTGAGTCGCACACACTCCGGTCATCTCAAGTCTTCGCTCCAGTGAGAGACCGTGGCGCTCAGCGATTGACAACAGACGCTGATGTAGTTCGTAGGATATACTGGGTACAACAAGCCCAGAGTCTGTATTGGTGGAAAGAAATATTTAAAAGGTAAAAAAAATATATATAACAGTCTACTTTAGATATTTACCTTTATTTCTTTACAATGAGAAACAACTTACCAGTGCAGTACTCTTTGGCCCCAGGCTGCGGCACAGTAATCTGTCTGTACACAACAGGTTTGGCCTCCAGGATGTTTTCATCATGGCGGTACCGTGTGGGCGTTTGGTCTAGAGGCGTCCCACGTGATCTTGCACCGTTACGGCGCTCCGAAATGTCGATTTCTGAGAAAACTGCTGCTTTGTCAAAAAGAGCCAAGTTTCCTTCAAAATCAAAATCAGTATCCACCCCGTCGTCGGTGGCCTCCCCAAAACACTCGTCGTCTCTGGGCTTCATCTGGCCGTTCTTCACACCATTCTTTTTCGGTGTTGCTTGGTTTGCCCCTTTACTGCTAGATGACCCTGATGGGAAAATTACAATCATCTCAACAGAGCAACAATCAACAATAGGACTGCAACGGTGTGTGTGTGTTCGTCAAATGAAAGCTCAAACGTTTAAGTTCCGGGACTTACAGGAGTTGTGTCTTCGACGAAATCCTTTTGGCTGGCCAGGTATGTCCACGTGACGTTCTCCTTGGCTTTTGGAGCAGTGCTGAGGAGAGTTGAGATTGGCCGCAGACCTGGGGTCGCCCTTTGGGACTGCGACTGGAGCACTGCTTACTTTTGTAGATGCAGAAGAGCTGTTTCTAGCATTGCCAATTGTGATATCTAAAATCTTGAGCTCCTTTATGTCAATGGCGCTGCAGACGAAAGGGACAATTTTATATTTAGTGACAGAAAGAAACAGCGGCAGGCATTTTTGTCATTGGAAGACCACTAACTTTATAAAAGAGATTACAATTATAATAGTAATGTCATTTTCATTCCACCTCGATAACTGTCTAGCAATCTGGTTTAGTGCTTCAAAAGATGCTTTCAATCTTCATAAGATCCAGTTCACTCAAAACAGAGCTGTTCACCTTGTTACCCAATGAGCAACAGCGTTTTATACCAATTGTGATTGGTACATACAGTAGATAAGAGCAATGTGTGCTTAACCTACATATCAGACAGACACAATGATGACACACCAGTCATACCTTCATGTGACACTTTACATTATCTTTACCTAAAACCAATGCTTCAAATAAACTGTTATGATAAACTACATCGATCCTAGATTACCAGTATGATCAATTTTATAAAGAAAATAATAACAGCAATTATTTAAGGCTACATATGATACTGGTGGCTGATTATATTTGTGGTGCTTACTTTACTTTCTCGTATCGTATCTCCTTTTGTTTTGTTGTTAATGTGTTGTATTTTGGGTGCAACCAAGGAAGAAGAGCCAAGAATTGAAATAAAGTACAGCTTTACCTGAAAGTGACCTCGGGAACAGGGCACTTGACTCCATTGTGGAAAGGTTGTCTTAAGGAGATGGTTTGGCTGGACTGGTCCACAGACACCACCTCTCCTTGATACACTCCCAGCGTTGGACCACAGTTAATTGACACCAAACTACCCAACCAATCGGCTGCCATGACTGCACAAGGATAAAGAACAGAATATTTAGCTAGTTGTCGGATAATATTTGTAATAACTTCAAACATGATTTTAAATGATTCAGTAACTTTCTGAATGCAGGACATTACAAACACGGATTACATGAGGTTAGCGAAGTTATGCTAAATGAGTAGCGTTAGCTTCGGCCTGTTTTCTAGCGTTAATTTAAAGACGCAAACACCATATTTGGTTAAACACGTGTTGTTTAAGTTTTGTACCTTTTTGAAATCGATACGAAACACAGCCTTTTCAAGAAAACCAATGAATACAGTGTAAAGTTAGGAGCTGTAAGGACAATTGTAGCTCCTTTAAACTGTTAGGTCTTAGCTCATTGAATGGTCAAAAGATGCTGCTGGTGCTAGCTGCTGAATGACAACATCCTGCTTCCGGTATAAGGCGTTTTTCGAAATAAGAGTTTAACCCTGACATTTTTACGCACAATCTGACATGCTGCTGATTTTCCCTTTTAAGCTTGTGTTTTTGTTTTGTTTGAAAGTCTGAGTCACATGTAGCGCTAATGACCATAATTAATTGGGATGTGCAATATTTTTGAAGCATAGAGCTGGACTGGACTATGCAAAGAAACCACTATTTAATTAGTTGCATGCAATATTTCACACTGAGCTGGAGAGTATCAGCATACTTGGTAAAGCCATGTTACTATCTGACATTCATCATCCCTGGCGGTAAAATGATATCCTCTACTACTATATTGTATTTAATAACAACACATGTAATTGAACAATAAACCATATAGATACGGCAATAAGGGGGAATAGAAAATAACTACAATAGGCACTTTTTATATAACTTGCATTAGTTACTGAAACTGAAGTCAAAAAACCCTCTAACAGCATAATTATAAATCATTATTTGTGTGTGTCCCTTAAGGCACCCATCATCAATCATTACACATTCACTGTCGTACATCATTAATCAGAGGTTAGCTATGTGCATTATTGTCAGTGTTGGGGAGATGTTCCTAACGACTCATGTCAACAAACAGCCACTCAGCAGCAGTGAGATCATATCTATCCCAGAAGTGTTAGCACATGACACACCCATCTCACTGCGTCCTGTGTACATAAGTTACCATGGATACTCAGTTCAAAGACTGTACACTGAAAAGCTCGCAATCAAAGCTGTGTGATGCTTTACAAGCAAAGCAAGTGAGCATTGTCAGTGGCGAGGAGGGGGTTTCTGCAGCAAGGTACTGTAAGAGGAAGCAATTGTGTACTCCAGGTATTAGATCAAAAGATGTATTGTTTATCACATTTTTATACAGACATAATTGTCTTTAAAATAGAAAAATATGTGATTAAACAAATGTAAAATGAGACAAAATAATTATGTGAATCACAAAAACCCTGTAATAATCATGCAGTGTTAAAACTAGTTGTTGACCATCACGCAAGCAATGGAAATATCTAGACACATGGTCCAAGAATAGCCACACACCTCAAGCTGCCACCTTTGTGCGAAAATCTAACCCTGTCATACGTGGGGAGAGGAAGACTGCAGCCTCAGCCGTAGGCTAAAAAGAGAAGACATGACTTGGATCGAGGAAGACTCTCCAAAATGTTCAGACCGTCGTACAGAAGCTCAAGTCCATTTTCTCTCAGTGACCTTGACATGTGGGACACCAAATCTCGTTTTACAGCTCAAGTAAGACCCAAATATGTGTATCTGGTATAGCAGGTTGACCAGAGAGTAGTTGTTTTAAGAAATATGTTTTTTTCTTTCTTAGAGCTCAGCATGGTGTGGTACCGCAACTGTCTCTGGGACTGGGTTTCTGTCAGATGTCAGCTCCAGGTGAGGAAATACTGAAATGAGTTAAGTGTCAGAAATGCTTTTGGCAATTTTAACGTCAGTGATGCGTAGTAATAAGGTTTGGTTGATATATTTGTATGTATTCCAGCACATCTGGGAGCACTGGTGGCTTCAGACAGAGTGACCCAGGTCTGAGGAAGTGGCAGTCGTTGTCCCACCTAGCACCTGAATGTGCGACACAGCCCTTTCCTCCATCTCCAGGATTAAGGTTTGCCCGAGGTGAAAGTAGCTTTAGACAAGCAGAAGGAGCCCATTGGCTGCAGGATGCTCACAAGCGTTTAGACACTCAACTGGACCGGCTGAGGATGAGAAATTCACCGCTGAGCCACAACATAACTGCTTCACAAATGCTTGACATGAAACATAAGGTAAGCGAAAACATTATAGACACTATGGTAAAAGTTTCATCTTGTTTCATATGCACACAGCATCCTGTTTTGCACTGACATGTTTCACAGCAGCTGTCAGAAACACTGGCCACTTTGGAGCAGGAGAAAGAGGCAGCTGAATTAATACAGTTTGAAAAGAGTCACCAACGCAGAGCGCTTCAAGAAAAGTAAGTGAAGCAAAACACATAGAAAGGAAAAGTGAAAAGACCTTAGATAAGATTAAAAGTACTGATGTGAAATTCACTCATAAGGGTGCTACAGCTGGAGAAAGAGTTGTTGCATCTGAGATCAACTTTGGACAGAAGGAGCCATGATCAGCCAACGGAGAGAAATCTTGACTCGCTTGGCGGAACATTACCGAAGAGTCAAGACAACTTTAACAGACAGGTAAGCTTTTTGTATTATAAAAACAGATATGTTTTCTAAATGATGTATTCTTCCATAGTTTTGTTTGCCAATCTCTGACTTGGATTTTATTCAGGTTACGCAGAATGTTGACTTAGAGCTGTGCAAACTGAGAGATGCACTAAGAGATGCTGAGGCGAGGGCAAAGACAAAAGAAGATGAACTCAACCAGGCGCTCAAGAAACTCCAGATTTCTCCAGAGGTATAAATGATATATCGTAAATCTTAAAATATACTGTAAAAAATATTTGTGAACAAAATCACACTGTAGTTGTTTGTTGTGCTGCTATTTAGTTTTTGTTCAATGTACACATCTTTAGGCTCTGTGCATTTTGTTTCTACGTTTCTAGACACAGCAGACTCTGTTGAATCAAATAGAGGACACTAATCAAAGGAGACAGAATCTCTCTACATTGCAAGAAGAGCTGAGTGAGGCTAACAACAAGATCAGCCAAGCATGCCTGGTAAGTCTGCCGCTGATTAAATAACCGCAAAGAAATGCATGATTAACACAAAGAGAACTATAAAGTATGTAGGCCTTGCTATTATGTAGGACATGTGGTGTTTTTTGCATGTCTGTGCCAAGGGGCCCTTTGTTTCACAATCATCAGAACAATTACATCTTGAAATGTGTCTTTAATTCTTCTCAGGAAAAAGCCATCTTGTCAACTCAAATGCTAAAACTGGAGGAAAATATAAAAGAGCTGAAGGCCAAACTGACAGGGTTTGACAAAGATCACCTGATCCAGGTATTACATGTTTAACTGTGTCTAAGGTATTTAAGATAACAATATAATGTGTGAATTACAACAAGATTTGTTTTCTTCTGTTGTGTGTTGTTAAGGAGAGGACCCAACAAGGTTCAGAGGGTTGCCAATCCCAAAGCAATCAGGAAACTGTTCAAACGAAGGAAGATTTAAAGTCGCTAAAAGAGGTGGAAAGCTTAAACTAAACATCATTTTTTTTATTTCACATTTACTGAATTCTTTATAACATTTTGTGTCTTTACAACAGGTACATGAAAAGCTGACAGGGGAGCTTGAAAAGATTAAGCAGAAACTGAAAACATCACAGTCTCAGCTACAGGAAGAAACCTTGGAGAGGTTAACCATGTCTAAAATGATCACAGATCTGGAGGCAGACCGCGCTCAGATGACCACAGAAAGAGAGCTGAGTAAAGTTAGTGAAAGTGGACATGAAGAGATAACAGCGATGAAAGAAAAGTGCCACCTGCTCAGGTGAGATGTTAATCAAGTAACAAATCCTTCAATTCTGGAGATAAACTTGTGAAAAAGTAGGGTACTTTTACATGAATTCCTCAAACTATTTATGCAGGGAATCTGTGGAGGTTTTGGAATTAGAAAAGCAGAAACTGCAGGATCGCTGCATGTATTTGGAGGCCGGGGTCCTTGAGAGGGAGGAAAAGCTACAACTGCAAGAGGTAGAGCACCGGAAACAAGGCGCAGGGAGACTCCAGAGCAACGAGGAACTGAAGGCTGTGGCCTCACACTGGGCACAGAAATGGCAAAGGGTGGCTTTGACCCTGCAGTCTACACAAGAGGAGCTAGAGGAAGTCAAAAAGAGCAACTCTAGAAATGTATGTATGGGGATCCCACACAAATGGCTTTCAGTGCATTTAGATGCAAGCTGTAAATCTCAGAGATTAAAAGACTTAAGATAGAGGGCCAGAAAGACAAGAGAGTCACTTTTTACCAATATGCATTTTATCTGAAGGAATCGGACTTGCTGCTGAAGGCTGAGCTTGGTGCATGCAAACAACAGCTGGAGCTGGAGAGGAGCAGGACTCTGCTTCACAGATGTGAAGATAAAGGTGAATGTACTTCTCTTTCAGCAGTCTGTGGCACCTGCAAATGTTATCAACAAGTGTTGTTTTATTGTGTTAACACAAGGGGGCGTTAAAGTGCTGTGACCTTGTATTTGCAGGCACTGATGCCTTGGCACAGACTGAGGACAGAGGGACACAGACAGAGTGGGTGGATTTTGATGAGATTGTCATTTTCAAAATGCATGATCAGCAAACGCTCAAAATGAAATTCTGTTATCTGAGTCTTTATCGTGTACTCTGACTATCTGTTCATCAGATTATCAGAATCCTCTTTGTTATGGGAGCCGTCATCAGCCTCTCACAGCAGCCAAAACAAAGCCCCCAAGGTAACGACATGCTCCTCTCTCACTGAACTTTTGAATTTAGGGTGGGGGTGGGGGGCTACAGTGTATTTGTATGTAAACATGTATGTAGGATAAATATTTAGTGTGTAGGATACTTACAGTTGACTTGATATATAGGTGTGTGTGTGTGTGTGTGTGTGTGTGTGTGTGTGTGTGTGTGTGTGTGTGTGTGTGTGTGTGTGTGTGTGTGTGTGTGTGTGTGTGTGTGTGTGTGTGTGTGTGTGTGTGTGTGTGTGTGTGTGTGTGTGTGTGTGTGTGTGTGTGTGTGTGTGTGTGTGTGTGTTGATAGGTGTGTGTATACAACGCAGCGAGGTTAAGGCAGAAGCAAAAACTGTCAGAGTAAGGGAACAAAAGGAAAAGTAAGCTTTCTTTAAAAAAATATAACAAATGCTGAGTTGTCTTAAAGACTGGGAAGTGATTCTGTAACCGGTTGAAAATCTAAATGTGATAATCAAGAAGATTTTAAGAGTCTGGAAAGGCTGAGAGAAAAGGAAAACAACAGGTTCAACTAAAGATGTCTCACTTACTTACTCTCAATCTAAACATGCAGCCTCATCAAGCTATTAATTAAAAACACAATATATCTGCGCTTGAACGGTTGAAATAACCAGCATCTCTTCTTCCTGTATCATCTGTTTCTCATGAACACTCACTTTAAAGTCCTCTGAAGATCAGGATGATGGAAACCAAGCAACTATCTGGACCAGTAACTCACTGAGGTCCCAGCTGGAAGGTAAGAGCCTGTTTTAAAAGAAAAACACATTTGGTAGGCTCATGCAATGCTTTTCCTCACTGGCTCAGATGTAAAACATCTTCTTCCATCATATGATTTCAGAGAGCAGGAGGAGAACGAGGCAGCTGCAGGAAGAAGAAACATTGTCAGACCAGAGGCTCCAAACACTGAGGCAGCTTTATCCGGTAAAGTTCATAAAAACAACACCTCTAAGGATTGCCTTCTATAATGGTAGTGAACATAATGAATGACATATTTCTTATCTACAGGTTCAAGATGAGATACCATCTGCTGAAGGCAGGAAGGATAAAACTGTCTCTCCTTTAGATGCAGAGACAGACCAGCAGAGGAGGATGGTCACTGAGCAGGTACACAATGCCTGATGCTAACACCATTTCAGTTTGTTCTAATGCAAGGATCTAGGGTTGGTGATGTTGGTCTGATACATTTTTAAGACCGAAATATCTCAACAACTATTTGATGAATAGGTCAAGCATTTTATATAGACATACTTTCCCGAGAGTATTTAGCTGAAATACACAAGCTACCAGAAGAGAATAAAGTAGCTACACCAGTTGCGATGTTCATTATAATCCAATAATATAATATGAATAATACTTGAATTGTCAATTCTGAATAATTGATTAGTTTGACTTTTCATATAACTTTCACTTGTAGGCCTAAGCAAAAGTAGCCTCTTTCTTTCCACCACTGCTAATTAGCTAGTGTTAGCATGCTAACATGCTAAACTAATAGTGTAACAACTTGTGAAAGGTGCTACATCCTCACGTTAGCATTGTTATATTCATTACATTAGCATTTAGCTCGAGCCATGTAGGGCTGTAAGCCTTGTTTTTACCTTTTGTAAATGACAAAGCATCACATGATGAATATACTGTATCTTACCATGGTTGTAGTTAAAGAATCTGTTTAAGGAGCGAGAAGGAAAAGAGGTGGAAACGGTTGACAACAGATTAGCTGCAGGTCAAAATGCACCCTCCTCACCAGAAGACTGGTCCCAAACATCTAAGGGTGTAAGGGTGAGGAACCTTTCAGAAACTATATAAACTATATAACATATAGCTACAGCTAGAGTTTTTACATTTAACTTAAATATGTTCATTTTTTCCTCCATTCAGAATTCAGTGGACAGGAGGATCTGGCAGCATGGTTCAGGTTTAATGCCAGTGTTTGAGGAGGATGAAGAGGAGTGTGACTGTCCAGGAGGGGAGGAGGCTCATGTTGAGGAAAACTGGCACAACCAAAGCCAACAGGTTGCACAGACTTAGATTACATCAAATGTAACGTTTTTGAAGTAGAAAAACATAAACAAACAGTCTAAACAGGTTCTATGCAACTGCTAAATGACTAAAACATCAGTTTTAAACCTCCAGCCACAACACAGCTCAAAGACCATCTGCATCTGCCTGTCTGCATGCAAGCATGTTTGATATATAATGTATTAGCATCTGCAACCGGTGGAAATTAATATCATTGATGGCTTAATTGTTGATAGATTATATATTAAAATGAGCAGAACTACCCACACATTCATTCATTGCATATACACACACACACACATCCCAGTTTATGCTTTAATCAAAGAACATACAGCACACAGGGAGGAGTGTCAGCCTGGCTGCATACCCACTTAAACGCAATGTGAAATGTCTTTCAGCTATAATCTCACATATGACTCTTTCTACTGGGTAAATAATCGGATTGAAACTGAACACATCTGACTCAATGATAAGAGGATAGGAAAGAGTTACAGTACGTCAGTGTCTTGTCCTGAAAAACATTCAGATAAAATACAACAAGTCTTTATCAAAGTCTTTAAAAGATCTTAATGGTTTGCAGTGCTGATAAATAAGAAACTGCACATTTTATCTTCTTAAAACTTTAGACTTTGTGACAACAGATGCAGATCTTATTTGATAAACAAGAAGTTGCCCTCTTCTGCACTTTTTAAGCTTCCGTTTGAAAAACATATAGCAACAACAATTTACTTAAATAGCATTCTACAGACACATCTGCAAAAGAGGTCTCTGCACCCAAAATAAAGATTAAATTAGAGATTAAAAACTGCTCTTTCCCCTGCCAGATGTCAACTATGACTGCAGTTATCTGCAAACTGAAGGCAAACAATGAAAATCTGCTGCCAGGTGAAGTTGTGCATGAATTAATGTAATAATCAGTAGTGTAGACATTTGCTTTGATATGTGCAATGTTTATAGTTTCGAGCTTTTGGGAAATCTATGGGATTCATACATTATTAATACAATAACAAACTACTTTTCTAATTTGTATTTGTTTACTTTAATCTTAATTGATTTTTATTTTCTTCTTCTGTTCTTGCTTGATTTTCTATCTTCTGTATTTGCAAGATATGACATTTTAAAATGTGTATGTTTTGTGTGACTTGTGTCTTTTTTTTCCTGATTCAGCAACACTAAGGTGCAAACCAATCCAGGACTGCCCTCTTACTGCAAAAAACAAGACTGCTCTCGGTTCAGATGTGACCGACCTGCAGCAGACCAAGCCCGCTTTGCTCTGTCCTGATGGATTATTCCTGGTTGAGCTGGTAGATATCTGTAGCCCAGATGAAGATGAAGAGGAAGAAGGAGACAAATGAGGTGTTTGTGCTGAACCAGCTAACTTTGTGCCTTATAGCTTTAAATGTTTTACTCAAAATAAATGTAAGGACTAACTTACTTCAGCAATTTAAAGACACAATGATATTAAGGTTATACTTGATAGATGCTTTTACCTCAGATGACACTGTTAATAAAAGTCACCAAGCAAGCAAAACTTGTCTTTTATTCATATGACAAACTACCGTTCTTCACATCATTCAGAAAGTCCAACAGCCAACAAGATATTTAAAAAAATTATCTTAGAGTAACAATACAATTCCATGTGCACATGAAAAAATAAATGTATTGCATGGATTTTAGTAACAAGGACTGATGTTAAGCAGGACTTTTACAAACGATTACTTCAAGTAGCTTTATGTTTTTCCTTTTATTTACATGTCGAGTGACTGAATGGTTATAAGATATTATTAAGTTCTTCAAAAAATGTAAAAGATCCATTTAGAAAGACGACATACATTGTTCTGTTAGAAGACCATGCATTCTGAACTCTACAAAGGTTGTTTTGTGCACTTACAGTACCTTCCCAACTGAGTATTAACAGGTTGTTCCATTGAAATAAGGCCATTACTAAGGCTATTGCTGATTTCCCATATACATATATATACACACACAAATGAACTCAGTAATCAAACAATTTGATATACAATGTAAACACCAGCTGTGTGCCCTTCATGGCAAAGGTGACATGATATGTTTAACTTCGGATACCCACTGAGTGTCAGCACTCTATAGACACTGGTTGTACAATGTGCCAGCGTGCCTGCTCCACCTGCAGGCTGCACATATCCCTCCAGTGAGCGAGTCCTGCACCTGCAGCCTCTGCTCCGATAAGCACTCGACCGACAACTTTTCCTTCAGGAAGGATCTACATGTGTCCCAGTAGAGAGGAAATAGAAAGTGGAATTCAGAGGGTTATGTTAAGAAAACATGTATAAATTGGCATAAATGCATTTTACTCTGTGATGTTTACCTGCATGATAACAAACTCAAGCAGGAGGGGCAGCTGAGTGATCTCTCCTGGAGGCAGGTCTAACAGGAAAGAAGAATCCCACAGAGCACAGGAGCTTCCTTCAGTTTCTCTGCTGCTGATCATGACTCCTTTAATATGCAGATTGATCACCACCTGGTATTCTGTGCACACAAAGATTATAAGTGTGAAAGAAAGTCTACTGTAGAACAAACATTAAACATGACAGCTAATATTCAAATGCATGCAGGAAAGAAGTGGCTTTCCAACTACAGCAAATGGAAGCAGTGGAGTAGAGTTCGCATGCCACAATGTTTTTGGTGTAAAATCTTTTCTTGCAACAGCTACCAAACTAAAATGCAGCCGAGCAGGCATGTTCTTATAGATGAGTCAGATGTAAAACCTAAACCTAAAAGGTAGAAATGTTGAAAAAGCACATCACACTAGTAGGTTTATCAAACTGACAACATTTTCTACTGTTCTCACTCTCTCTAGAAAGCATAACATACATTTTATCCCCCTATCTTTATCCATTGTAATGCCATTTTGTCTACTCGCATGAACAAATCTGATATAAAACAAGCAGATTATCCTAGTAAAATTCATGTGACATAACGGCACTGAGACAGATATCATCTAATGGCTCTTTATACAGGATGTGCTTGTCTGCAATAAAAGTAATGCCTAGACAGGCTAATGCAAACAAAGATTAGATATGTCAGATCCAGAGGAGATTGGAACATTTAGTGAGTAGTGAGGGATTAAACTACAATGTCATTAAAAAAAAAGGGATGATCTCCTGCTGCATTTGAGTCATGTAAGACATGATTTAATCCCCTAAGCATTACAAGCAAACATAGGGAATTACTTTACCTCAGCCCTTAAAAAGCAAAAGTTGGTTCCGCCCTGCACGCTTACATAATCCCTATGCAGGTTGTCTTTACAGGATCACCGAATGAAATACACATTTTGTCAAATTCTAGTGACATTAAACGCCGGCTTTACCTGCTGCTGCCAGCGAGTGGACGAGGTTTTCTATGTGTTCTGCTCTGAGGACCGTGGCTTTGATGCGGTGGTCCGTAGTCTGATACTGAAGCAAAATGTAGATCTGTGGAGGACAGCTTAGCACTTTACAGGGCGGTGCATCGTGTGATATCAGACTCTGCCGTCAAAGAGCAGAAAGAGAAACATTGATCCGCAGGACATGCAGCATGTGTAGTGCAGTAGCTTTGTAGAGTACAACATTCAGATAAATCACCATAGGAAACATCGTCTTTTTATATACTGACAAATACAGATTTGTGTTTGTCTCCATGTTTTCCGCTTGTTGCACGTTTCAGCAGATCATTTAACTGTGACCTTTCTACTGGATTACCAACTGGGCACAACAGGCAACACTTTGCCTTGGGCCCCGAGACCCACATGGGCCCCTAAAGGTCTTGACCTTTAATCTTAAACATGCATCGTAAACATGCTCGAAAGGGGCCCAGCAACATGTTTTTGATACAGTTGTCCTTACAGGTTATTCTGCTCTATATCTTAAAAATGAAGTCTACACCTACTCACATATTTTAGTTCAACACACCAGTACCTTTTTTGTCCTCCACTTGTTTAGATCGAGCTCTTTTGTGAAGTGAAATTGTTGCTCTGATCCCCAGTCTCTCCCTCCACAATCAGCCTCCAGTTCAGCCAGCGTGGTGCCTCTCATGCTGGGAGGTTCCCGTGTGTATATGGCTATTCTCAGGACACACCTCATAAGCTCCTTCACAGAGCTCACCTTCAAAAGCAGCACCAGGCTGTGGGTCTCTGGGCTGAGGCTGCTCTGAGCAGAGGCCTGTATGGGACAGGGGTAGAGAGGCGGCAGGCTGCCCAGCACAGACACATCCTGGAGCCTGTGGGGCGTCCCAGTGAGGCAGAGCACAGTCACTGCCAGGGTTTGTTGATCTGGAGAGAAAGCCATATTGAAATTGAGGCAGGGATTTGGTGATATTGGCTGTTGGCAGCTGGCACTGGAGCCATAGCTCAGTTGAGCCAGTGGGATTCGTTCTTCAGGCATTGAAGGAGAGACAGCACTGGGGCCAGTGAGCCGGCTGTGTTCATTGTAAGATATTTTATCTCCAGTCACCATGCAGCGTCTCTGCAGAGTCTTACATTTTTTGGACAACTGTCCCAGTTTGGGAAATGCAGGCAGGGAATCATGGCTGGGATCAATGGCTTTGTAAAGGGGGGCTGTTTGTGGTGTTGTGTTGAGGCGACGCAGGGAGAAATAAGACTTTGGCTGGTGCGTCTGTTCAGAGGCAGCTCTAGCTGGTTTAGAGAATGGCAGAGTGGACAATTCAGACACCGAAGGGGCAGGGCTGGTGAAAGTGGAGGGGTACTCCACTATGTTTCCGTCCAGCTCCTCGTATTGCTGCCTTGGCAATGAGGGAGGCGGGCTCTGGACAAAGGTCAAAGGTTCAGCAGGAGCCGGTACTGAAGTCATAGCATCTTTGTCTTTCACTTCACTCATATGACTTCTCCAGCACAGGACACATCCCAGGCACAAACTGAGACAAAAAGCTATCAGTCCGACCAAAAGAAGGATTTGGAGGTGAACTGCAGACAAAAGAGAGAATAATAACTTAAATCAGATGGTTCAGAAACTGTTCAGAAACTCACCCTGAATTACATGTTATAGGACATTCTATTTTACCCCATGATGTGCCTTAAAGCACAGAAACAAGATTTCACACTAACTGATAAAGGAGTAGTTCATTATTTTCAAACCTGTTTTAAAACAATATTCACATGCCTAAAAACGTTGTACCGCATACTTGTATTGGTACAAATATGACCATGCGGATGTTAATTTAGAATCATAAAAACTGTGAACTTATCCTTTAGGGCCATACCTTCCAGTTGTTTGGTGAAAAGGACCTGCACCAGGAGCCAGAAGAAGAGTATGACCATGATGCCCTCGATCATACCCTTACAGCAGAAGAGCAGCACCGACTGCCACAGAGGCTGACCCGGATACTCCTCATCGTGGTAAGGCATGGTGCCAACAGAGTGCTGAAGGTTTGTCAGAACCTATTTTAAAACATCCACAAGTAGAAGCCAAGAGGTCCCGGTGAAGAGGATAATTTGTTTGGCTTATTAAACCACATTCTGGCTTTCAGTCCTGGAGATCTCCCTCACATGATTTTGTTTGAGGCAATCTATGCCATTATTTGGGTGTGCCAGAAACACAAAGGCACAACAAAATCACACTATTTAAAACACACGTTTCAGTTTTGAGTAATAAAACCTGCACATTGACAATATATTCCAGTCATCGTCCGAGGACAGTGATCCCTTCATCTGCAGAGTGACTTGACGAGTATTATTCCGCCCTGGTTGGCGGGGCAGTGGGCGGAGATATCATCTGATAATACCTCTGAATTGTGCCCGTGCATCTTTCTTCTACAGTATTCCAGATGCCATCCAGCAGTGTTATAGAATAACCCTCCCCACATTAAATCCTACAACCTGTTCAATCTGACCCGTGAGCTCTCATCTCCATTAGTTAGACTCTTTCCGTTCTTCCTCTTCCATGTAGGAATTAAGTAGACTTCTGATAGACTTATGTGGGAAAAACACCAAGGTCTCAATTAGGAAGAAAATATAAATGACTTTTAAGATTAAAAACAGGGTAAAAAAATACTGCATGTTTACTGGTCCATGCTCTCGGCTAAAGAGATTAAAAGCAGAGATGATGCATTGAATACGGATAAATGTGCATGTTTACAGATAAATAAGACCCCTGAACTGGTGGTCTCGTTTTTTTATAGCAGAGTAAATACTACCCCCATCTGGCCACTCACTCGTGTATTATTTATATTATATTATGTACTGTCCAGCAAAGGCGCAGGTATTCAGATCATTTACTGGAGTAAAACTGCAATTCAAAATACTCTATTATAGTGCGGAAAAAGTATTTAAAGTGCATACTTATTTTTAGCAAAATATACTTAAAATATCAAAAGTAATTTGATAATGTGTTTAATTTACGACAATGCATTACATTTGTAAAATGATCGATGTGTTTTCTATGTAAACCCTTGATTTATATGCAGGGTAAATAGTGCATTTTGGATTGTAAGTGTGAAGTAAAATTAAATGGAAAGTACTCAAGTACAATCAGTTGAATAAAGACACATTTATATTCTACCATTTGGGTTTTTGGTGGCAAACCAGGTTTTAGAATGTCCTACATACATCTAAACATGGAATTCATTTCTGGACATCAATGTGTGTGACATCAACAATCATTTCAGTCACTGGTGAAGATTGTGAGATGCAGTTTAAAGATCAGTCAACAGCCAATAAGTGGACCTTGTGTTGAGATTTTTGACGAGGTATTAAATGCTTACCTACTTATTAGGATTGTTTCAAGCTGACACACGTCTATTAAAAGACTACTAGACAATTTTATCATCTTAAACGAACATCATCAACCGCAAGGCTAACTTCTATTGGAACATGATAAAACAAGCCCATAAATGCAGGGGTTTTCCAAAGGTAACAATGACTTGGCTGAAGAAAAAAAAAACAGTCTTTCTACAGCACACAAGATGGTTTTATTCCTTATGGCCATATGTCCAAGAAATACGTTCAGCAAAGATCAAAAAAGAGTTCAGCATACACCTTGCTTTCTGATGTTCACAGTGACATTTGTTTGCATGATTGATATGTCTACTTGATTGTCCACATACAGTCCATTTCAGCAGATGTCTAAACCAACACACTGCATTAAGCATTGCATATTTCTCTAGAAGAGTGAGGTAGCACTGTTTCAGTGTGCACTTGTCAAAAGCTTGAGGTCATTAGTGATACATTCTCTGCATTAATGCAAACACAACAATATATATTATAAGATACAGTATAACAGTGATGAGTCCAAAAGGACATTCCTGAGTCCAGAAGAAATTTCCGAGAAACTTACCAACATGGAAAGTTAATTGAGGTAAATGTTGAACCACTTCCACCCTACATATAATTCTCAGCAAAACCGTCTCTCTGGTTTTGCCTTTGATTCAAAGCTGACATGAAATCATTGTTTTGAAATTAATTTGAGGCTGAGCCAAATGATTAAATATAAAAAAAGACAAAATGAAACAATACAAAACATACAAAAATCCAACCTGCAAAACATTTCTCTAATTTTTTTTGTTTTTATACATAAACCTGGAAAGCTGCTTTTAAACTATGAGCTTTCGGTCGGGTTAAACCAAATTTTAACTAAAAGGGGTACGAAATGGCTCCAGTAAAACAGTTACAGACAGGAGCTATGACATTGAGCTAAGGCTTTTTGGTCTTCATTAGCTGCATTTTGGCAACCATACTGTTCTACTATGGCTATGGAAAAAGGCAGCTACAGAACTGTTGGATAATTAGACATAAATGCAGTTGACAAACCAAAGAAAAGTCAAAACACACTTCTGAACAAACCTTGTAAAGCCATTTAAAAGAAAAAACATCTAACAGGCACAAAGGTAAACTCTGATCTGAATCTATATTATGGTCAGTTTTAAAGCCTTTGAGGTTAAACATCTCTGTCCTCTTGACAAAACCTATTTAAAGCACATTATATTGTAAAAATAATGTAAAAGTTATAGATTTCCTGAAGTGGTACGGCTGACTTTCTGCACTGCTCGAGTAGACAAACAGGAAGTCAACTAGCACAACTAGAGGGGTCCTAGGAGACAGCAGTTTAGTTAAGAGTTCACACAGTGTTTGCATGGTGCTAAATAATTTTGCTGAGGACACATTTAAGGTCAAGTGAGGCTTAATTTGGTCCCTTAGAGGAAGTGGAAGACGAAGAGGAGGGACTATGCGAGGAGGACATGGCACTGAAACCATTCGTTCCTGCCAGATTTACAGCCTGCGACGCCGCAGGAGCAGCCGACTTCTGGGCGAACAGCTTTCCTGCAATGCAGAGATCAGATTACAATGAAAACCATAAAAAAAACATACAAATTAGGAAATTCAGTCAAGTTTGAGGAAGAATTTAGTGCTGACAAAAGTGAAAAAGTACATGTTTTGTGAGGAAATCACTGCTCCAAGGCATGAAATAGTTAAATTAAATTGTATTCTATTCTCGCCTATTCAACCACAATTTGTAGTTTATCTCCTGCTTTTGTACGGATTAAAAGACACATAATAGGATATTTTATTGACTGAGGTGTACAGGAGCCTGTAGGCGTACATTGTTTATCTTCTGACAGAGGTGTAGCTCTTTTGGTGCAGTTTTTTGGGGGCAATTTAAAAAGCACTAAAAAAGGCATACACCCCGTTTAAATGGTATCGCTCACCTGAGTAAACTGTGCCATTGACCTCCACAGACACACTGATACTGGCTGCTCCATTAGTGGAGATGCTCAGAGACATATCCTGTTTGTTCTCTGTGGGGGGGGGGGGGGGAAATAAAATACTCCATTTAATAAACTTTCCTTAAATCATGTTAAGTAATGAAAGAGCCAGTACAACAATCACAGCCTAGACAACTCACCATGTCCATTGTTAAGTTTGAGATTCATGGGGTTGAAGTGAGAAGCGAAGGCCAGTAGGTTTTGTTGGATGGCCTGCTGCATGAGGCGCTGCTGCTCCTCGGCCATCCTCATCATCTTCTTCTCTGGCCCGTCGGCTGCGGCTCCTCCAGCGCTGCGCTCCAGCCTCTCTCTGAAACTCTCCAGCGCGGCAGCTTGTGCCAGCTGTTGCTGCTGCTGCTGCCCCAGGGCCAGAGCCATGGGCAGCCTGCCGGGCATCACAGGGGTAGGCATCTCATCTGATTGGGAATCACAGTGGGAATAGTTTTAAACATGTCATGAAATTAGAATAAGTGTTTAAAGAAGGCAAAGGAAAAAGGCAATGGAATGTATAGGAATGAGTCTTTAACTTTGAAATGAGTTCGCATTTGAGCGCTTCCGGGCTACCTTGAAA